TATAAAACAATTTTCTCATAAATTAATATCTTAAAAGATATTTAAAGACTCAAATTTTTAAGAACAATTTTTGCTCCCTAACCAAATTTCTTTGGTTCCGATCCTGTTTACACGACTTTATAATCACAAAGAATAGTTTTAAAAAAATAGAACAGTTTGATTGGACAATCACAACACATACCTTGCGCTATAGTCAAATTTGGAAAGGGGAGTGCTATAGAAAGATACTAATTAAAAAGAAAAAGTTAGTAAAAGCAAGTGGATTAATTAATTAATTAATGACTCAATTGTGCACATGTTGTTAAGTAAATTATTACAACGCATAAAAATACCTTGAATGCACCGACTGGGCGGCATATATTATATGTTCCTTCAGAGCAAGGTGATCCATATGGCGCAACCTGGGACTTGAGGGAGAAAAGTTAATTAACAACCCATGCCTGTCATCTAATTAATCGTGTGTTGAATCTAGCACTGGAATGTGTTTGCACATGTGCGCCAAGTAGAAAGATTCATTGCGGAGGCAAAGGTATCTCAAATACCCAATTCAGCCCTACATTATCCTAATATGTTACGGAAACATGTGCTGGGAATCCCAAAAAATAAAATAAAAAATAAAATAAAAATACTTTTTTTTTTATATTAACTTCTCGATATCTAATAATTATATTAAATTTTAACTAATTCAAAATTTAATAATGTCAGACTTAATAAAGAAAAAAATTTTCTAACACATGCTTTTTTATTTATAAAATTTAAATTTTATTTAAAAAAAATTAAACTCCTTCTACTCGAATTAATAAATAATTAATAAATAAAAGAATATATGCCACTAATCTATGACCACATACGGCGTTTATTTGTTGTTGTTATTATAGTATATTATCGTATTGTAATTGCGGCCGTATGTGTTTAATTAAAATTATTATAAATTTAATATATTTTTAAATAAAAAGTTGCGTGAAAAAGGTGTCTACGAAACTTAATCAAACAAATCCTCCATTAGCCGGAGTTGTTGGGGCATAAGGATAGAACTTTCGTGCCAAAATTTTATAAAACCAAAAATACAGTGACCAATTTGTCATCGTGAAGCCTCTATAAATAGGTGAGGCATCTTTAACTGTTGCATGCAAACTCGAGCCACCACTTCCAACTTTGAAGAGCTCTTAATTTTCCATTTTCGAGCCCCCCTCTCTCTCTCTCTCTCTCTGCCTCTGCGACCACCCTCATCACCCAGATCGATATGGCTGAAACAGTAGTAGCTGGAATTCCTACTTCTGATTTCAAAATTACCAGCACTCTTCACCACTCCCATGATGAGTCTCTCATAAAACCTGATCATGATGAAACCCCCACCGTTGATTACTCTTTGCTCTATTCTAATGATCTTGATCAACGGGCTAAGACTCTGCAACACCTTGCCAAAGCCTGCGAAGATTATGGCTTCTTTTATGTATGAACCTTGCTAACCGCCTCTCTCAAAGTTTCTTTCAACAAATTATTAAGAGTTTGAAAGAAATGAACGGAAGCAATGACATTTTTTATGCAATTAAATTATAATATTGAAAAATAACGTAATTTGAATATTAGCTAAAAAATTCATTCCTAACCTTTCCGTTCTCCTTCACTTCCTCAAATCAAATATAAATTTTATGACTAATTTCTCAATTTTCATGGACTTTTTGTTGATGCAAGTGGAAATATTCCATTTTTTTTTTCATTCTTTTTTCCAGCTGATAAATGGAGTGCCGGAGGACGTGGTAACGGGAGCATTGAAGGCGGTATCTGATTTTTTTGATCAGACAACATTGGATGAGAGGGGTGAATACAAGAAAAAGAACCCAACGGATAGGTTCAGCTGGGTTTCCAACTACAACACTGAGGAAAACAGAGAGTGCCTAAAGGTAGTTTCACATCCTCAGTATCACTGCCCAAGTAAACCAGCCCACCTCAGGTACATATGCAATCACGAATCTTTCTAGTAATGCACATATGGTGGATACTATTACAGAAAACAACTCTTCTCGTCCTTTAATGGAAATATCATTATTATGATATAAAATTTTATAGGTTAAAGATTTTATATTTGAATATAGTCAATTGTTTAATTCATTTGCATGTTATATTGTTAATTTTCCTAGCTTCTAAACAGAAAAAAAGATGGACATGCATGGTTAATTAATTACATATCAATTGATCTTTTGATTCATTACAGAGAGATCCTAGGAGAATACTTGAAAAGGTCCCATGAGGTGGAACTAGGGTTAGCTAGGGCTTTATCAAAGATCCTTGGCATGGAAGAAACCTTCATTGAGAAGGCGTTTAAACTGCAAGCAGGATTTGATGTGACTGCAATGAACTTTTATCCTCCATCTTCCCAGTCCAAAGGTCCCATCGGTTTACCTGATCATACTGACCCTGGATTATTTGTTTCACTAATAAAAGATGTCAATGGTGGCCTTCAAATCCTGTCCCAAAAAGGAGAGTGGATCAGTGTGAAAATTCCCCCAAATGCCATTTTTATTAATTTCGGTGATCAAATTGAGGTATCTACCTTCCACTCCACCTAGTCTTTGTCTTCTTGTCCCTTTTTTTCGATCCATTGTCACATATACAACAATTTCTTTCTTCCACTGATCATTAATATATAACAAATTACAACACCAAGTCATTTTAATACAATAAGAAGGTAATTGTTGACCACATATTTTATCACAGATCTTAACCAATGGACGGTACAAGAGCAATGTTCACCATGTGGTCCTGGAAAACAACAAGGTTAGAAGAATCTCGATGGCAACACTCCATAGACCAGCACTTGAAGCAGCTATCGCGCCGGAAACAGCGTTTGTGAACCAGTCTCACCCGCCAGCCTACCCCAGGATGACCTACAAGGAATACTTGGAGTTCAATGGTTTTGATGAGATTGACGTGCAATCAAGCATTACACAGCTTCGATTGTATTGAATTAATCATATATCCATTGCTATTATATATATAATATCTTTTTATATATAAGTTTTATATAAAATTTTAGACATTCATTTTTCATCATTAATAGTTGAGATTCATCACGAATTTTTAAATAAAAATACTATTAACTCTAAAAAATAAATTAGAAAAGAAGAAGATAAATCTCAACCATTTATATATAATAGAAAGATGAATGGTCATGATTTTGTTTTAAATTTATTGTAAATTGATCCCAACTCTATATATATTTCAAGTAAGTAGGAGACATTGTTATGTAATTTTTCTTATGTGGTAGACTTATCCTTCTCTAGCAGTATTATAGAAGTATGGAGGCGTCTATGTTCCAATTTGGTTGGGCTTTCTAGTGCGGTAAAATATTACGCATGAGTGTGCTTGTGTCCTCGTAGTGATTTGAGTGTGTAATTTATTTAGTATGTATATCTTTGTGTATTATTTTGGTGAAATGAATTTTTGTTTAGATACATGTTACGGGTTATCTCCTTCTACATGCAATATGAATAAATTTTGGACATTAATGGGTATATTTTTCAATTCAATATATTGTATAGAATACATATTAAAAAATTATTATTATTTTATCTAAAATAAAAGGTAAACAAATTTTTTTAAAAAGTCATGCATATAGTATATATACAAAAACTAACTAAACTGAACATATTTATATTATATTTTAATAATTAAAATGGATAAATATCAAAAGATGTAGATCTAGAAGGTATATCAATAATTTTTCATAATTATTTTAATAACCAATACTTTAACTATTATACAAATATATATATATATGTCAAAAAAATATTACATTTTTTTTATATCAAATAATAAGTTATACAATCGAAGATACCTTTCTCATTCCCTTAATCTCCTTTACTTATTTTAAGATTAGAATTTAAATTATCTAACTTAGAATTTCAAACTTTCAACCATTTAAAAGCAAACTCAAGTACTAAACACATCAAAATAACTCTAAACATTCTACATTAACTCCTTCCGATCTATCATCTCAACATTCTAACCCTCAACGCAACATTTCATGCAATTAGGTGTAAAAAAAATAATAAATAAATAAATAAAAACTCTGAAAACACATTAACCATTTGGCTTAAATTAAATTATGCATTGCTTGAGATATTACTTAAGGGTATAAAAAGAGTAGTACCATGTTTACATAGTAGTACCATGTTTACATAGTAGTACCATGTTTACATAGTAGTCTGTTCAAAAAATGTTTACATAGTAGTATTTACCTTTTTCTTTTTTTCTTTTTTTTTTACAACAAAAAAGAAGAATTTATTAAACAGAAATATAAGGGATATAAAGTTCATTTCAAAAAATAACAAATCAACATATGTAATATTTGATGTCAGCCTCCCACGAGAAACAGAACCCCAACCACTATATTGCCTCTCAGCTTCCATTCCTTGCATTGCAAACAATCTTGGGGATTATGGCACCACTCATCAAAATATATTTCAAAGCCCTGCCTCTTTTTAATTTCTACTTACAATCGTAATTATAAGATTCTGAAAATTGTAATTAGCGTAAGCGGGAGATTTTCCCTCTGCAACGTAAACCATATAATACTCTAAGAAAATAAATTAAAAAAAAAAAAAAACCACCAACAATGACAGAAATTAGCACCATGTGAAAAGAAGAAAATATTAATAATACCCACCCCCCATAGATGCTCTTTGATTACTTAATTAATAATATGATCCGTCAATTATGAATAATATATATAATTTTATTAGATTGGATTAATGAACCTGATCCTACATAGTCTGATATACGTTAGCCATTGCCTCAGCATGGCATACGTACTCTACGTAATCAATAGTGTAATTAATCAATTGAATTGGGATCAATTTATACAAATCTTACAAATCATTTTTATACAAAATTATAATCATTCATTTCTCCATTATAAATAAAGTCATTATGAAATTTTAGCAATTTATAGTTAAAAATGAATAACTATAATTTTGTATTAAATTTTTGTATAAGAAGATCCTATCTCTAATCAATTTTATAAAAAAAAAAAATCAATTATGATTTATGTGACTGTTTCCTTCCCTTTTGTAAATAAGTTGAATCAACTGTTACCATTTTAAAACAAATTATGTTTAGTCTTAAAAAAAAAAAAACACACACACACACATTACACATACAATGTTGATCCACTATTTAACCTTTCAATGGGCCGAAAATTTAAAGCTTATAAGTTATAACGGAGCTACTTATGAAGCACCAGCTTAAAGGCCCACTTAGACAATTACCAGAATGCAGCCCAAATTTGATTTGGAGCTTCAGTTTTTTATGCTATGGGCTCATTATACTATTACTTTTTTTTCCCAAGATAACCTTTTATTTTTTATTTTTTTCTTAAATTAAAGATTTAAGAATAATAATTATATTTATCTATGATACTTTTGGAAAAAAAAAATAGAACATAATGAAAGAACTTTTATAATTAGATAATTAATTAAAATAAATAGAGAATAACATGATTAAAATAGAAAAAAAAATACTTGTCTCTCATAAAAAATAAAAAATAATAATTATTTTATAACAATTTTAAAATAAAAAATAATTATTATTTTAAAATAAAAAGAGTATGATTTAAGAAGGGGAATCCAACCAAATATACTTAACCCACAAAGTTACAAAGATTTTGCTATATATATCTAGCCTGATATGATGTTTTTAATTTTTTTTTCTACTAATTCTTTCTCATATTACCAACTACTACCATAGCAGTATTTTAGATTTTTTTTTTTCTAAAGGTGAATATTGAACAAATTTTGATGGAGCTATTCGAGACCTTCAACCCTACTTGTACTCAAACCAAAATCTTCCAAATATATATATATATATATATATTGATCTCAGAATAATAACACCTTCATTGTTTTTTCTTTTTGTTTACACCATAAATTGCATTTTCGTTTTTCTAAAGGTGAATATTGAACAAATTTTGAAGGAGCTATTCGAGACCTTCAACCCTACTTGTTCTCAAACCAAAATCTTCCAAATATATATATATTGGTCTCAAAATAATAACACCTTCATTATTTTTTCTTTTTGTTTATATCATAAATTGCATTTTTAGTGATGCCACATGTTAATGGATAAGGTGAGATCAGATTTACTGAAGGGATACATATCTATAAAAATTAGTTTTGGGAAGATAAAAATTATCCAACTTGTTGTAGTTTGAATTTAAAAAGAAACAAAAATTCCTAGAATTTAGGAGGAAGTTTAGTTGAGGAATTATCTGTAATTTGAACCGTCAACAAGTGAAGTGGGGAGACAGTTTGCATGAAGCGTATAAAAAGAAGGTTTTAGATTTTTTCATCACACATGGCTAACCCTACACAAAAGTCATCAAATTTTCAATTCTTTAGTTTCATAGTAATTACTCACCTTACTTTTCATATTTCAGTTTTAGCACAGATCCCAATAGATTTAAGTTGTTTTCAACATTCAGGTACCCAAATTAATTTGTGTAATTGCTTTTTTGATTTTCTTTAATGCAATAAACACCAAGTTTAATCTAATTTACATTTTATTCAGTTAATTTTGAATCTATTAACTTAAATTCTTTATATTATTAAAGTTCTTGAGATTGTCCAAGATAAATTAGCAACTCATTTTGTAGGAAAGCATCCATCCCTCTTATAAATAGTCTGAAGGGTACAGAATTTAATCTTAAACCAACATTCTTCCAACCATCCTGATGAAAGTTTACCACGTCAAGAAGAAGGTTGTTGGGAAAATCTTTTTTTCTTACTTTTCAAAAAAATAAATGACATACCTGTATCAAGATTTCACACATATGAAACCATTTAAGGATTTTTTAGAAAATAGTTCCCTTGTTTCCCAAGTCTGTCCCCGCACGCATGTTGCAAGATGAAAGCAATCGATGATATTTTATTTAATTCACCTAGAAGTAAAAGCCATAGAGAAGAACCTGGCCTTTCGACCAAGTGACTCTAGTCACGCTTGTAAGTTTCATATCCCTTTCATCGAAAATAATGGTTTGAGCCGATCACATAACAACATGTTCATAAAAAAAAAAAAAAAAAGCCATAGAGAAAAAATATATATATAAAAAGTATGATGGGAGGTGATGTTCTGGACGTTTACTATGATTTTATGTCTTAACCAAGAAATTTCTAGCTAGAAACACTTTCCCTTCAATTCCATCATTTTCTCCTTTCCAGGAAATATCCAGCTATATAGTCCTTTTCCCACTTCGTTCGTTGAGAAAAGATTTCCATAAAAATAGGAATTTTGCTATTTTTTGGGATATAATTTTTTTCAATTTCTAAATTAGGTAATAAAATTTTTTTCTACATAAAAATATAAAATTTTTATTTTTTATTTAAAAATCTATTATATGACAATGATGATGTAATGACAACCGACAATCTTAATCAGAATAAGGTAAAATTCATATTCTTAAATAAAAAAAATTATATTCTTAAATAGAAAAATAAAAATTCAAAACTCAAAAATTTCATATATTTAAATAGAATAAATAAAAATTCTCTCTTTCATTTTTCTATTCATTTTTCTATTTCCACTAATAAAACCAAGTATGGAAAAAAAAAAAAAAAATAAAACCAAGGAAAGCATTCCTCAACTTCATTGCTAATTAATGTTGTTTAATTACTTAATTAACCCATGCCATGGTGAATCATATCTATTTTAAGAAAGATTACTAGTAGGGATGACTTCTAAGCATGCCCAATTTGCATAATATAGAAGGCAAAGGTGCGGTTGTTGCTTGATTAATTGGCATGGAATGTACACGTAACCCTTGTATTGGATGTTGCAACAACTAACTCACCTGTACACCCAACTTGATAGCTTGTTATTATTTACTATTTATTTTAGGTATCACACTTTTATTTGATATAATTATTAAAAAATTATAAAAATTCATAAAATAAACTTATTACTAATTAAAATTTTATATTTATCATTATTAATAGGAATAATTAGAAAGTAATGATGTGTTTAGAATAGAGCAATTATTAATAGAGACAAAATTAGAAGTAAGAGATTTTAATGTTATGATATAAATTTTAAAAATAATGATTGATATATTTTTTAATTTAATATATTAATCAATGGTTATTGATTTAATGATTAAAATCTTACGATTAAATGTTTTTTATATTAAAATTTAAAAATAATAATTTTTTAATAAATATATTAAATTAAAAGATAAATTAATTATTGTCTAAATTAAAATTAACAAGTAAAATAAGTCATATGCTTTTAAAAAATATGTCAAATAAAATAGATTAGATAGTACTATTTTTCTCCCCTCCTCGGGTAATTATAAAGCTAAACGGTAACAGTAAATGTGGGGAAATAAAGTAGAATTCTTTTCAAAGTTTCTTCTTTTTAGTCTTTGCGTAAGGGGAAAGGAAAGATCCCGTGATATATACAGAAAGTGCGCATGTGATTCACGGGCTCACGAATGACCTTACTTTCTTATGAAAAGGGGCATTGATTTATTAAATGGTAAGAATTATTCTCGCTTGACACCCATATGATAAGATTGGTTTTAGCTGTTAATTACTAGTAATTAGTCATTTCAGACTTCCCATCAAAAATAAAAAAGTTTAAAAATTTATATTTTTTTTTAATAGGGGATACATGTAATTACCACTACGAAAAAAAATACATTCACAAGTGTAATCCAAGTACAGATCAAGGAATAAATAAATCGAAATTGTATAAATTATTACAAATTACAGAGTAATAAGACGAACCAAAGTTATACATTAACAATACTAGAACTTGAAATAAATAGGGACTTCCATTCCATAGTACTGCTCCATGACAAATGATTTTTTTTTTCCTTTTTTTTTTTTTTGTGACAAATGGGGTTATGGGAATGATGATTAATTGTCTTATTAAATACTTAACCGTTAAGCATGTTTATAAATAATAATAAATCAAAGCTTATAAAGATTTTTTTTTTTATTTTATTTGCAGCTATAAAGAAAAGTTTTGTTAAAGGATCTTTAAAAAGCATATAAGAAATTTAGCAAAATATACAAATAAATAAATAAACGACTACTCCCCAGAACCAAAAGAGGTTTTCTTTTTTAAGGAAAGATGAAATTTATATATATATATATATATATATGTATTTGTTAAAGGATCTTTAAAAAGCATATAAGAAATTTAGCAAAATATACAAATAAATAAATAAACGACTACTCCCCAGAACCAAAAGAGGTTTTCCTTTTTTCTTTTCCTTTCCTTTTTTTTTTAAGGAAAGATATGTATGTAAGGTACAGGATACTTTACATAGATAGACCATCCATTATAAGTAATGACAGTAGCGAACTAGGAGGCTTGTGTGCCCAGTATGAGGGGCATTTCCCTTTAAGTGCTGATCTAGCCATCCAATCTGCCACTTTGTTACCCTCTCGTGAAACAAAGGAGAACATAAAACCAAAATGGTCTTTCGATAACTGTCTGCTACACAAAATAACAGTTTTAGCATCCCATGGCACAGGTTTATCAGAATGTTTGAGGCATGAAATCAGAACCTGGTTATCTGACTTGAAAATTACATGCTGAATTCCCATGTTTGCAACAAGGTTGGTAGCTTTAAATAAAACTAGTGCCTCAGCCATAAGTGGGGATAATGCCATACACAACCAAACATTTCCAAAACAGATTTCACCTTTTGAATTACGCCCTACCATTGCCAAAGCAGCCGACCCCGAACTTGGTGAAAAGGCAGCATCCACATTGACCTTGATAATTCCTTGAGGAGGTCTAGACCAATAAGAGCGGCGTTGTTTTCCAATTGACCGAGGTTTAGCTGGTGGTTCCAGCAGATCCTTGGTCATGGATATTGAGTTTTTTTGAATCATTAGTGAGATCCAAGCAAGAACCTGGTGAGGAGAAATGTCAGCATGTTCATGGTATTTTTCATTTCTAGCCTTCCACACATGCCAACAAATTATTACACAATGTTCAACCACGAAAGGAGTACGCATTTGTTTTGCCATATTCTTAAGGCACCTTCACCATTCGATGAAGGTAGCAGCCCCCAGTTGCCTCGGATCAAGACTTAAGGCAGAACCAAACCAAATTGGTTCAACATGAGGGCAATACAATAACAGATGCATTAAATTTTCCTCAGCCAAGTGACAATTTTGACATAACGTCTCTTGTAAGATCCCCCTTTTCCTCAAGTTATCTAGAGTAGGTAGAAAGTTAAGCATGGCTCTCCATAAAAATCACGGAGCTTAGGTGGCACTTTTATTTTCAATAAGTGTTTCCATTCTGTCGGAGAAAGGGTCGTATTACCATAATCAATTTCAGACTCATAGTTAGCATTAAGAGCAAGAATATAAGCACTTTTGACGCCCAGACTTGTCATAATGCCGTATCATAGAGTCTGAGCATGGCCCTATGGGAATTTCAAGGATCTCCCTACACTCTTCACTGTTAAAACAAGTAGTTAACTTGTGTACATCTCATTCCCCATACTCATCTAACAATTCACATACATGGGTAAAAGGTGAAGTACGTAGTGTCGGGGCATGAGATTACCTTGAAATCGAGCAAGATGGGAATCCATTTATTTTGATAAATTAAAGGACAATGATTGGTATACCTGATATTTCAACACCGGGTTCAATACTTTCCGATTTAGTCATTAAAAAATCACAATTTTTTAGTTTGAAATTAAAAACAAACAAATATAATCAGGGGTGGAGGCAGAAATTTTTTTCAAGGGGAGCAAAATATTAAAAATTTCAAAGTTCAGGGGAGGCTAAATAATTTTTCACATATTAATTTGCAAGATTTTCAAATTTCAGGGGGGGCGAGCGCCACCCCTCGCACCCCCCTGGTTCCGCCACTGAATATAATGATACAATCATGTACACTAGATATAAGAATCGGCTGAATTGACTATATTTATATTATATTTTTAATGATTAAACTAAAGGGTGTTGAACCAAGTGTTGAACTAGAGGGTGTACCAAACATTTCCTTAAATTAAAATGTTTTGACCATTGCCTAAATTCCATCTCGTCCCAAGTTGCACAATCCCCCTTCCTTTTAAAATGCTTGACCATGCTCATGATGGACGACTTCCTATTCAAGCTTCGAACAAAGAAGAATCTGAAAAGTATAAACTCTTTAGAACCCAAACCCATAGAGCATTAGGATTCTACATTATTCACCATGTACTGAGCCAACATAGCAAGATTAAAACAATAAAGGTCTTTAAAACTCATACCTCCCACATGCTTACTTTTGGAGAGCCGCTGTCAACTGACCCAGCATACTTTCCTTTCATCATTCTATTGTCCCCACCAAAATTCCTTAATGCTTCGATTAATATCCCGACAGATTCCTACAAGAAATAAAAAACAAGACATAGTAAATGTAGGAATTGCCATCGCTACTGCTTTAACCAGGATTTCTCTACCAACTTGCAATAATAAATTTTTTTTCCAATGGGTTAGCTTCCTTTGTATTCTATCAACCACATATTTTAAGCTGTCTTACTTAGATCTTCGCCATGAAATTGGCAAGCCAAGGTATTTAGATACCGCTCTACTTCTCTATGAATTCCCATTTGATTGCAAATTGATTCTCTGATTTCTAGCACGGTATTAAGACTAAATATCATAGGAGATTTAAAAAATTTTACTTGCTGTTTAGAAATATTCCCATACACTTGTAGAATAGTTTGTAAATTATGCACCTCTTCTAAGGAAGCATAGCAAAACACTAAGGAATTGTCTGCAAAAAAGAGATGGCTTATTGTAGGGCTTTTTCTTTTGATCTTGCAACCTGTAATCTTTTAACCAAAAGTTTAATACTATACTACTCCTACCTTTTATGAATCATGTCGTAACCACTATTTTGAAAATCGAACTGGATTGGATGGTCAGACCAATTAAACCAATACCTAGTGTTATAAACAATTTAGGTCAGCACTTAGAACCGATAAAGAAATTGAACATCGAACTGGATTGGATGGTCAGACCAATTAAACCAATACCTAGTGTTATAAACAATTTAGGTCAGCACTTAGAACCGATAAAGAAATTGAACTGTTTAAAATCGATAAAATCATTTAAATTGATGCAAACCATTAAACCATTCAACCAAACAGTTTAAAGTTATTGAAAAATTTCCCTTAAATTTGCCCCCTCCAAGGTTCGAAGACAAGACTTAAGGGAGATTGTTGATGACTTTTGCCACTAGGACATCACTTGGAACTTGATAATAATTTGCTTAAAATTGTATTTATTTTATCTTTACAAAGAAAAGAATTGAAACTCAGCGGAATCGAATGAACTTCCCCTTATAAAGTTCCTCACCTAAGGTTAAGGGAAATATCATCAACTTCCATGTAAAAATTAATATAGTATTTGTCTAATTTTTATCTTAAATATATAAATTAAAAGTATAATGAATATAATTTTTTATAATTAATTTATATACAAAATTATAAAAATTGATATTTATTTTAATACTATTGATGTGGAAAAATGATTTTAATTGGTTAATTAATTAATTTAAAATCAATTTTATAATTTTTTATGCAAATTAATTAAGAGAGTAATATGTTTTAGTCTGGACTTATAAAAAATTAGAGTTTTAACCCATATTTAAAAACTAAAATCTCAATTTAAAATTCAAAAATTCAATTAGTTTTTAAATTTAAATTTCAATATTTAATAAAATAAA